CACCCGCCTCACCCCCGCACCGGGTGCGGACCGGCGGTTGCCCGGAAACTGCCCGTTCCTGCACCGCGCCTCCCAGACCCCGGTCCTGGACGGGGCGCAAGGCCGGCGCCCTGGGCTCCCCCGGCACGGTCCCCGCGGGGCCGGGTCGTGGCTCACCTGGACGCAGTCGGAGCCGCGAGCACCGAGCACCGAGCACCGAGCACGGGGACCCGGGCCTCGGCCTCCGCGCAGAGGCGACTGGGGCGAAGAGGAACTGCTGCGGGGCTGCCGAGGGGGGCAGGAGGCGCGGGGCGGGGCCGCCGGCCCCACTTCCCTCTTCTGGGTGCCAGCGGCCTGGGTCCGGGTCTGCCCCGGCGCCGGCTTCCTGACACCGGCGCTGCGGAGCGGGACCCAACGATGCCCCGACCAACGCGACGCCCGGGCGCGCCAGGGGTGGGCGTGGCCACCGCGCAGCGGGGCGTGGCCAGAGGGTCCCCGCAGAGCGGGAGGGGCGTGGCCAACGAAGACGGGCGGGGTCCTCGCCGGCGGGCCAAGGGGGATGGGCGGGATCTCCCAGAGCGGTGAAGTCCAGGACTGGGGCAAGGTAATCGAGGGCGTGGCCACAGAGTGCGGTCGAGTGATGGGTGGGGCCACCGGGGAGCGTGCACTGAGGAAAAGGCGTGTCCTTGAGCCAGGGGGCTGTGGGCGTGGCCTACCACGAGGGGCCCTGCCGCGAGGAGCGAGTGTGGCTTCCTGAGTGGGCGGGGCAAGGGGCAGGGTCGCGGCCCCACTGGGGAAGCCGTCCCAAGTCACTCACAGGTCAAGTGCACGGGCCCTAGTGGCTGAGTCTTGGCGAGGTGTGTCATGTGATGATGTCACAGCCCCGCCCCTGTCCACGGGTGCGGGAGGAACCCTTGGCGGCTCAGGACCACTGGTTGCTTTCTGGAACATTGACAGCTGCTTGCCTTTTATTATTTAAAAAACGGGTAGAATTCTGTTGTTTTACAAATAGTTGCGGAGTGTCTGTGGTCCCAGCACGGGGGACCGAGGTAGGAGGGTCTCAAGTTCAAAGGCGCCCGGGCTGCGCAGTGAGATCTTGTCTCAAAAGCCAGACAGGCCGGGCTGGGGGCCCACGCCTGTAAGCCCAGCTGGTCAGCTGGCTGAGCTCTGAGGATCGCGGTTCAAAGCCAGCCCGCGCAAGAAAGTTCATGAAGCGCTCATCTCTGATTAACTCCAAAAAACCAAAAGTGGCTCTGTGGTTCAAGTGGTAGAGTGCCAGCCTTGAGCAAAAAACAGCTAAGTTAGTTTCCAGGCCGACCTCAACTCCCAGTACCAGCATGGATAAAAGTCCAACATGGAAGCCCACCTTAGAATAAGGAAAGTAGGGCTGGGAATGTGGCATGCATGAAGTCCTGGGTTCGATTCCTCAGTACCACACACACAGAAAAAGCCAGCAGGGAGCTCAAGTGGTAGAGTGCTAACACTGAGCAAAAGAAGCTCAGGGACAGTGCCCTGGCCCTGAGTTCAAGACCCAGGTCTGGCAAAAAAAAAAAAAAATAAGAGAAAATAAGAGAAAAAGGAGAAAATTAAGATGTGCCTGTAATGTTACATAGTGGGCTTTTTTTAAGCTGGTGGAAGGAGATTTTCTTTCCTGTAATGTCTATCGTATTTACCATGAAATAATTTGTTAATCCATAAATGTATATCTGGAGGCCAACTTGGGAACAAGGGTGAAATCAAGACTCCACCGAGAACGTGGGGTACGTGGGGTTCCCGGGAGCAGGCAGGCACTGGCTCTCTTCTGTCCCCGTGTGTCCGGCTCTGGGACTGCAGGTTCGGGCACCGATCCTGGACACCAAGTCATTGCTCACTGGTGAAGCAGTGAGCTCTGCTCAGGAGACCCGACCCGGGTACGAGGGACACAGCATCAAACGCCTGCTCTGCTGGTTACTGGCAATTTTTTGTCCGTCCTGGGGCTTGAACTCTGAGCCTCAGGTCTTCAGCTCAAGGCGAGTGCTCTACCCCTTGGCCCAGCCTGGGGGCCGGTCTGCCGCCTCTTCCAGCCCTCAGGACACTGGGGCCCCGGCCGCCCCGCCCCACACCCGTCCTTCCCGGGCCCTATGGCTGTCCAAGGCCCGGCCTCGGCCCCACAGCCTCCACTTCCCAGGAAGGCCTGGGAAACCGAGGTCTAAGGCAGCAGTGATCTGAGCC